TTGGAGTGTAAGCAGTGTAACATTTATGATGGGATTCAGGGAAACCAGCAACCGGACTTGATTCCTGGAGATGGGAAGTACACGTACAGTGCCAGCACTCTGAAGGAGGGGTTATTGTTGCAGTTTTATGACTGCAGTGTAAGCATGCCTCTGGCAAGACAGTGATGGAGTTAATGATGAAAGTTTTTTCTTTTTCGGGCCACCCTGCCTTGGTGGGAAACGGCCAGTGTGTTAACAAAAAAAAAAAAAATTCCAGTCTTGTCGGAGTGTTGGAAAGAATAACGTTTTCTCTAGGTCAGCGCCAAAAAAAAGTGTACACAATAGTATTACTGTGGGTAACTGTTGAAGATTAGTGCTTTCATGTGTCTTCAATCGGAGCATCATTCCTTTTAAAAATGGTGTGTTACGTGAAAATGGGAGTGTTGCTCTTTATTTATTCTACTGTGCTAATGTGGAGACAAGTTGTACACAATGTAAGGTGTTTGTATCATGGTATAAGCTTCACAAACATGGAAATGAACGTGTATCATCCATAAGCAGACATGTTCGTTTGCTTGTTCACAGCCTCAGCGAAACTGTCCTCTCTCATTTACTCGTTCTCTTTCTCTCTCTTGTTTATTCATTTTATCTCATTTACTCACCTCTCACCCTACATGAAGACTACAAATATTTTAAGGTAAGTAATGAGTGTAATGTATATGCATTTTATCATTCTAGGGCATTTTAAAAGTATATTACGTGTGGGTGGGGTGGCCATACCTACCACACATGACCTCTTACAATAAATACTATTCACCTCTCACCCTACAGTAAGACTACAAATATTTTAAGGTAAGTAATGAGTGTACAGTATATGCATTTTATCGCTCTGGGGCACTTTAATGTCACTGTGTGAGTGGGGTGGGCAGGTGGGCTACCTTACCTATCACACCTGACTTCATACAATAAACACTACTCATCTTTCAACCTACATTAAGATTACAAATATTTTAAGGTGAGTAATGAGTGTACTGTGTGTATTTTAAATGCCTAGTTCTATTGCTAACTTAATATAAGTGTAAACTTGTTATCTGGTATTTATATGCATTTAAAAGTGGAAAAAATGGCATTCTGCTTTCTGGATATAGCCTGGAACCTAATCTGCTGTATAAGTGGGGCCCTACTGTATAATGAATTTAAGCACTTAAGCTGAAAGGGTCACACGGCGCTGCTAGGTGTACGAGGGAGCAAGCTTTAAATGCAAGGGGAGAGTGTATCAGTGAGGACATTAGTGTTCGAGTAATAAAGATGTTGGAAGTGAATCTTGTGAACCAGCTGCTGAACAGGACAATCTATTAAGATATGGTGGACTGATAATTGATCTAACAGTCCTCAGACAGTGGTGCCAACTGTTTCTCCATGTGATACCTATGAGTTGTGAGAATCTTGATACGTAAGTGGGAGAGTGTAGTCTCTCAAACATGACAGTAATGGGAAGATGGCCAGAATCATTAAGGTGGTTTGATAGAAAATAGTTGTGGTCCAACACAGACCAACACTGTTAACCCTTTCAGGGTCCAAGGCCCAAATCTGGAGTCACGCACCAGTGTCCAAGAATTTTCAAAAAAAAAATTTGTTATTTTTTCTTATGAAATCATAGAGAATCTTTTTGTGAAGGTAATAAAACAAAAAGTACGAAATTTGGTGGAAAATTGACGAAATTATGCTCTCGCGAATTTTGATGTGTCAGCGATATTTACGAATCGGCGATTTTGCCGACTTTGACTCCCATTTTAGGCCAATTACATTATTCCAATCAACCAAATTCTTAGCTATTTCACTAGTATTACTTCTATCGATTGAGCACAAGAAATCGTCAAGTCAACTGTTTCAACTACAAAATAAAGTGATCGGAAATTGTTAATTTGGCCAATTTAACACAAAGTTCAAAATATTCCAATTTCAAAATAGGGTCCAGAATGAACAATGTAGGCATTCCTGGCACTAAACTAACATTTCCTCTGTTCATTAGTTATGTTTTGAGGCTTTACAAATAAATTCCATTTTGATTTTTTATTCACATAATGAATTTTTATTCACACCAAAAAATAGAAGATTTACTGTTATGCAATACTGTAATAATTGTATAAATATCATCACCATATTTGTGAATGTATATTAGACCCACCAGCTGTCATGTATTAGACATGTGAGGTCGTTTGTTTACTCTTGAATATCGGCAAAAATTTAACATTTCTGTTTACTTTGAGCTAGTTTAAGCCATTTCCAGTGCTAAAACCAATCAAAATCTTTCTCTATTTCTGTAATATGTCTTCCATTCTATCAATGAGACCAAGAAATCGCAAATACAACTATAAAAAACATACGAAAAAACACTGCAAAGTTGCTGTTTTAATCGAAAAATCATGATTTCATTTTTTTTCTCTCATTATACACAGTGTGCTGCAGGATCTGTTTTATGTGGTGCACACATACCACATAGATGTATTCTCTCATATCTAGGCCCAAATGTACCACTCACAGTTTATCAGAGCTGAGCTGAGCTCATGGCGTAGATATACGGTTTGGACCCTGAACGTAAAGCCATAGATCTACGGGACGGACCCTGAAAGGGTTAATAGTTAACAGAGTTGTTGGCGGATTATTGTGGAAAATCGGGAGGTCATGAGTAACTGACCAAATGGCTAAGTCTCTTTGTTTGTTGCCCCTGAACACTGACACGTGAAGAGGTCCAGCAAAAAAATTAAAAAGTTACTAGAAATCTGACATAACCAAAGGTGTATAAGATGGGATGAGAAGAGTTGCATTTCTGGGAGTCTGAAACAATCATGAATGATGAGGCAGAAATAGATGCAATGTGTATGACAGCACTGAAAAATTGTATACAACTGTTATGTATATGTATTTTCTTTTTTACATTGGTTTAAGGTCCTTAGTATATGGTCTGGCCTAGGATAGCTCACTGATGTCCAAAAAGTCTAGAGGAATACTTACATTAATGAGAAGTCTATCTCATCCTCTGAACTTATTCTGCCTTTAGTTCAGATAATAGGTTATTTAAATCACTAGCATACAAAAATAATTTTATCAGTGGATAAGTATTTACAGCACAGATATATGACAATTAGTCTGGCCCAGTTCTTGGATTAAGAACAAGTTATACACTATTAGTATGGGCCCCAGTCACATGGAAACCCATCTGAAAACAATTACTCCATATTTCATTCCTGGTCGTCTTGACTTGGTGTTTTAACCCTTAACCCTTTGACTGTTTCAGGCCCCTCTCTGAAACTGTCATTCTATGTCGCTCAATTTTTGAAAAAAAAGAAAATATTTTTTCTTATGAAATGATAGAGAATCTTTTCCCGATGGTAATGACACCAAAAGTTCGAAATTTGGTCGAAAACTCATGGAATTATGCTCCCGCGAAGTTAGCGGTCTCGGCGACATATGTGTATCGGCGATTTCACCGACTTTGAGCCCTATTTTCAGCCAATTCCAATGTTCCAGTTGACCAAACTCATAGCTATTTCTTTAGAACTCCATTTTTTCTATCAGCTGAGTAAAGAAACCTCCCATTTACTAATTTGGACTACCCCAATATGGTGGTCGAAATTGGCAATTTGGCCAATTTCACGCAAACTAAAAAAGATGCCAATTTCAAATAGGGTCCAGAATAAACAAGGTAGACATTGTGGCACTAAATAACATAGGCTCTGTTCATTAGTCATATCTCTAGGCCCCTCTTTTTTATTATTGTTTTCTATTTTGATTTTTTATTCATACAAAAAATACAAAATATACTGTTATGCGATACTGCATTATTGTAAAAATGGTATTAATAATATCAGTGCAACTAGTGAAAGAATATTAGACTCCCCAGTTGATGTGTATTGGATGTGTGGTGTGATTTATTTTACTCCTGAACATTGGTAAAAAATCGAACATTTCCGCTACTTTGAGCTTAGTTTCAAGGTCATTTTCATTGTCAAAGTAATGAAAATCATCTCTATTTCTGTAATATGTTTTCCATTTTATCACCTAAGACCATGAAAACGCAAATACAATGATAAATTCTATACGAAATTTCACCTCAAAGTCGGCGTTTTATTCCAAAAAAACGATCAGTTTTTTTTTTCTCATTACGCAATGTGTGCTGCAGGATTTTTTTTATGTGGTGCACACTGACCACACAGACCCATTCTCTCACATGTGAGCCTACCAGCTTTCTCCCGCTTGATTTGAAGCCGCTAGAATTATTGAGTATATATACGTCAGAAACATTGGCTCGTAAGACGTATTTATACATCGAAAACAGTCAAAGGGTTAAATGGTCCAAACATATATATACGTTTTTTCAACATCTGAAAGTATGTAAAAAAATGTAGATCTTTTTTGTTTTACATTTGAAAACGTGTAAAAAAACTTTTATCTACATTTTTTTTTATACATGAAAATATGTAAAAAAAAAGATCTACTTTTGTAGCACTACGAATTTGAATGTCGATCTGTTTGGACCGTTTAAGGGTTAATAAACTGTAGCAACCCTGGGAATGCCTCAAAGCACTTGGGAAGATACCTTCTAATATACATTACATGGAAGATATTTGAGGGCCTAGTCCTAATCCTATATACTATCATAAGTTTCTAGAGAGATATGGAAGTGTAAATTAAAGTGAAAAGAAGGGGTGTCTAGACACAAAGAGGGAAAACTGTGTCAACATCCATTATTCTATAATTAAGTTTAGCAGCAGAAACCCAACCACTACATCTGTCAGGCTGTGAGCCAGCAAATTGGTAATAGTAACAGCTTGATTAAAAAGGCAGTCAACAAGAAAGACTGGCCCCAGGCTGGTCTGCAAGGATAAAGAAGCTATACAGCATGTGATGTACCTGTTATAACAGCACTTCTCTAAGTATATAATAATCTACACTCACTACAACACCAGGTCTTCAATACAAAAAAAGTACTGTTGTCGTCTCAGAAACTAAATAAAACGAGGAGCTGTTTTGATTTATTAATATTTTGTAAATATATTAAAAAAACATACAATGTATATGCTCTGGTTACGAAAATTGCAAAGGAGTGAATTGATCCAAAGATTTGGAGCTATTCTTATTTACCAAAGGGCTCTTGATGAAAGGGAGTGGAGCTACTGTTACTTTCACTGAACTAAACAGTAATTTTTTTTTATATTTTATGTAAACAGTATTACTCCAGATACTGGATTAGCATTTCCCCATGATTATATCCTCATCTTCCTTGGATCAAATGTGATTACTCCTTTATCTCACAAAAGTGCAACCCTTACAGGTTTAGTGCTTCCCTGTCAATATAATGTGGTAATAATATTAAAAGTTAATCCTGGCAAAAAACATACTGGTGAGCACAAAAAAATGGAAGATTGACAGAACTTGAGATAAACATTTTAGCAGGTTCAAAATAGACTGAATTAAGATTTGGTTAAATCATGGTCTTGTTTTGCCAGAGATCCAGGAGACAAACCTCATGGCACTGCTACCTTCACTGGCCATTTCCTGATCTTGATTTCAAACGAGCAATCTCTCTGTCTTTCATTAGAGTATCAGCAGATTTTTCTGTGAGCTGGAGAAATAAAAGCACATTAACATAACAAATACATACCATTAAAAAAATTGTATACACTAATAGAGTACATTACTGACCTAAAGTTTTGTTAGTACAGTAGTAGTAAGATTTATCCACAGTTATGTGCATGTTCCAAACTTGTGGGGGTAATATAATACTACACAGAAGAGAGCAGCTCCTGGGAAATGTAAGGCAATTAGACTTGCTCCAAGAAAGAAGAGTCCAACTCCTTGGCTCAAGAGCCCCTAACCAGCATCAAGAAACCTTGCTTAAGGTTAAGAAGTGCAAAGGGTGTGTACATATGGTAAAAAGGAAAATCAAAATTGGTGTAACAACTCCATTTGTCAAGAAATTATAGTGGGAGTTTGAAAGGAAGGTAGGCACAATTAGGAATTTAGGAGAGTCAAAAAAAAAAAAAAACGAATTCCAAGCAATTTTGATAGGATGATCTACTGTAAGTCATGTGTGTAACAAAGGTGTGAGAGTACTGCATCCCACAACTGGGAAGATGTTGACCAAAAACATAATTAGCTTGATTCAGAACAGCTTGTTTAGTCCCTAACTCAGACCAATGATGCTGCCAGGGATTTCTAATGCACTAAGAGACTTAGTGCATTAGAGGGGTGACAACAACTGAAGGCATCGACTTAAATAACGTCAGGGAGTACTTGCCAGTTAACCTCTGTACCTTTTTCCAGACTGCCCACATGGAAGTAGTGGTAGTGATAATGGACATACAAGCTTGCCTTTTGTGAGCTCTTCATATTAGCTCATGCAACATTTTTATACAGGTTGTCTAAATCAATATATCAGTCCTTCTTATTAGATAATAGTGTATTTTTTACTATTAGTAGTACATACATTCTTCATTAGTCATATGAATGTTAACATCGATCCTGATATCAACCTCTACTCAAGACAGCAAGGGTTACACCAATACATAAAGGTGGTGACCCTGCAGACGTAAACAACTATAGGCCAATATCAAACTAACCATTGCTATCCAAAATCTTCGAGAAACTCGTGCACAGGAGACTATATTCATTTATAACGTCACAAAAGATACTCAAGCCCTGCCAATTTGGTTTCAGGAAAAATAAAAGCACTAATGATGCAATTATAAAAATGCTAAACCTGATTTACACAGCATTGGAAAATAAGGAATATCTGCTAGGAATTTTTATTGACCTAAGAAAAGCGTTTGACACCGTAGACCATGGCATCCTACTCCACAAACTATGGTATAAGAAGCCATGTGCTTGCATATTTTAAATCCTACCTTTCTAATAGGTATCAGTATGTCACCATTAAAGACACGGCCACTTGATACTGGAGTTCTGCAGGGAAGTGTCCTTGGACCCCTGCTCTTCCTCATTTACATCAATGATCTTCCAAACATATCCCAACACCTGAAACCTATTCTCTTTGCTGACGACACGACTTATGTCATCTGCCACCCTCAACACCATTGTTAACGAGGAGCTGCTCAAAATATTGACTTGGATGACAGCCAATAAACTTACACTTAACACTGGCAAAACCTACTATATTATGTTTGGTAGCAGAGCGGGTGTTGCGCAACTTAACATTAAGATCAACAACACTCTAATTGCCAGACATAATGAGGGCAAATTCCTTGGACTATACCTCGACAACAACCTAAATTTCAGCACCCATATCCAACACATAACAAAAAAAGTATCCAAAACGGTGGGGATCCTCTCCAAGATACGATACTACGTGCCGCAAACTGCCCTTCTCACACTATACCATTCACTTATATATCCATACCTCACCTATGCTATCTGTGCTTGGGGTTCAACTGCAGCAACACACCTAAAGCCAATAATAACCCAACAAAATGCCGCAGTAAGAATAATCACTAAATCCCATCCCTGGCAACACCCCCCCTCCCCACTCTTCATAGATCTAAACTTACTCCCTGTTCAGAACATCCACACTTACTACTGTGCAATCTATATCTACAGGACCTTAAATTTCAATATTAACCTTGACCTAAAACTCTTTCTTGATAGTTGTGACAGGATCCACAGGCATAAAACCAGATACAAACATCTCTATGACATTCCCCGTGTTCGACTAAACCTTTACAAAAATTCAATGTATTTCAAAGGACCTAAAATCTGGAACACCCTACCTGAAAACTCTAGAACTGCAGACACATTCATCACTTTCAAAACTACAGTTAGAAAACATCTTATCTCCCTGATCCACCCCGACAACTAACACGATAACCACCTGGTGGTTCACAATTACACTCACCCACTGACTATAAACCCAGAAATACTAATCTTAATCTTAAAATAATAAATCCTAACTAGTCATAAGTTTGCCTATGATACTCCAATATAGACACTTTGTATTGTGCCAAAACAAAAGCATTCACATTGCTAAACTCACAAATTATGATGTAGTCACTTAGCCTTAATACCATAATCTGTAAGGATTTAATGTTAAGAATTAATCTAAGTCTGCCCGAAATGCCTAGCCATGCTAGGTGTCCTAGTGGCCCCCTCTGTAATTAGCATTTTATAACATGTAAACCACACAATACCCAAAACCTGTAAACCCCACATTGTAACCCTTATAGAGAATAAACTTGAACTGAATTGAATCTTATTAAATGGCATAAACAATCCTAACAATAACTGCCTTTACTACACTGCTAGTCAGGCCAAGACACTACTCAGTACAAACAATAATATAATAGTATTCAATTATAATGTCAGGTCATTGAGTAAACACTTTGATGACCTCCTAGCATTACTCAGTTCTCTGCATGCCAGTATGTCAATCATAACTCTCACTGCAACCAGGTTTAAACGTGACAGTGCAAGCATTTTTGCTATACCTGATCACACAGTCATACACAACTGTAGGCCCGATCAAATAGGTGGTGGCACAGCAATCTACTACCCTGATGAACCTGCATGGATCAAATCTACCTGCACCAGGGATAAAAATGGTGAATATAATTTGCAAAATTAAAGGGCCCAAAAAAAACCTTAAAAAACCCATAACAATTGGGCTATTAAGAGTACCCACTCAAATATTTACACTTTTAACGAAAACCTAAGCCCATGATAACTGACCAGAGAGAATAAACCCACCTATATTACAGGTGACTTAAACTTTAAACCCTCACCCATGAAACAACCCAAAAGTAATAAATTTCACTAACCCCTTTGGGAGCAACTGTACTCCTCCATCTAATATAACCAAACCAAACGAATATTGAGCAAGTGCCTACTCTTGCCCATATCTGGACAACAATATCCCCCACTAAGAGTAGGCTTATCACAGATAATCCACAGACCATTATCCCACTTTTTTAGTTCTTTCATTTATGTTAACCCTTTCAGGGCCCAAAGGCAAAATCTAAAGGTACGCCCGTGCCCAAGAAAATTTTTTTAAAAAAAAAAAAAAAAAATTTTTTTTTTTCTTACAAAATTTAAAGAGCATATTTTTGTAAAAGGTAATAAAACAAAAAAAAATAGAATCGTCGTACTTCCCGAGATACGTGCAAGAAGTTTATAGAAAATGATGTGGTGGGGGCAACAACGAGATTCCACATCGCGTATTTTTTTATTTTTTTGTTTTAGTTGTTTTTTTCTTTTTTTTTCCCAAATTTTTTTTCTATTCCTACAAATTTGGGGCCTGAGAGACCAATACTGTTATAATTATATTATATATCATTATTGAACACAATAACTGCACTAAAGTTATTATCTTTATTGTTTCCCATTTTGTTTATTACAATAAACATGCCAAATATTGTTTAATACTAATGTTCTTCATATATTTACATTTTACAATCACTGGACAGGGTTTTAGAAATGCTGGAGCTTGGGGAAAACTCTTAAAAAACAAGGCACCATGCACGGGAGGCACCTTACTTTCCCTCACACAAAAACCCGAGTGTCTTTGCGTCTTTGTTCCCATCGTTTTGTTTGTGCCAGACAATGCATCCTTTGAGAAATTTTTTCTTTTGAGTTGGGAAAGCTGTATTATGAAATGATCCCCCTTCTCCCTAAAAACGCTTGGGTATATTGTGTAAATTCGGGGGACCATTTTTTGTATTGGGGTGTTGTTCCTGGTACTTATTATGAGTTGTTGACAACAGACAAACAAAATTCACCATAGGTGGTCTGTTCCCGTCTTTATTTGGTACTATTTATGCATTCAGCATTAAAAAGGTCATGGAGGGAAAAAAAAGTTTCATGTACATTTGTAACTCTTCGAACACGTCAAAAAAACCCAAATCTGCATTCAACTTGTAACCCAAGCGCATTTTGTGTATAATAAATCACTGTCATGGTTTTCGAATACTTTCATTAGTCATCGATAAACTTCCCAGTCTTGCTTTTTCATTACGGTGAATGGTTGTCAACAATGTGACATCTTTTTGTTGCCACCGAAATGCCATGAGTCTTTGGCAGTAAAACCGAGTCACACACGAAAACCTGCGTTGACCCTGGGTTTTGTTTACGATTAGAACCAGGGCCCCAAACATCTGTCTTGTTCACTGCATGAAAATCACTGAGAAAAGGGCTTGTGACCTTTACGGTATAAATGTATGGCCCTTCCCAAGATAAGGTGCCATCAGTTTCTCACTACGTCACCTGTATACCCAATTACATTTGGTACTTTCAATGTTTTCTACCGTGTATAAAACAAATCAAAACCGGCCCACTGCAATACAGAGTCAAAAAATTTTATACCAAAGCGGTTTCTTGCTCGGTATAACTGCTTGAAGGGACAGTCTCCCTTTTGAACAAAATAAAGACCGTCAATTTAAAAGATTTTAATGGATAAAGTATACCCTAAAACTTTTGTTTGAGATCATGAAAACATTTTAATCTTGAAAAACGTCACTTCTGTCAGGCCTGTTTTGTAGAGAAGTGCAAATACGTAACAGTAAGATAAACCCGTTTTATGGTATTTATTTCATGAAGGATGGGGTAAAATTAGCGATCTGTGGCGTATGCTTTTATATATGCTTATAAGTGAGGCATAAGCATTATTGTTGCAAAAAGCAATAATTTCTGAACAGTCGTCTTTTCCACCCGTGTTTTCTTGTGTGGTATAAGACGTATTTGCCATGGTGTACTGAAAATATTATTACTTTCCCTGACAATAATTTCCATCAATGGTGGTTTAAAGAAATAAATTTAAGAATTCCAGTTTTTTGGCCGTGGTTCCAAGGGGGGCAGGTAGGTAGAATTCCACTTTGAGAGTCATCAAAGGGTGAGGGCTGGGAACAAAATTGGGATTTTGTGCCCAAACCCAGATCGGTTTGCGGTGGAAAATGGAATATAGGCTGGTTGTACGGGGGGTTGTGGCGGGCTGGGGGGTGACGCTGCTTTGCCTTGAATGAGAGTCGCAGCGTGGGGGCCCCCCGTGGCACAGGAGCACGCAGACGGTGCCATACCACCCCGCCCCCCAAAAACCATCCCTGATGCCTGTGGCCTCCCTGCCCGTGTAGCCCATCATCTCATATCACTACCTAAAAAGGGTGTAGGGCCCGGGGTGTTTTCCGGGATGTACTCCGTCCCCCGGGACAGATAGGGTACACACCGAGCGCATTGCGGGGCCAAACTCCCCACGCTTCCTGGTGAAAATGTTTCCTCACTATCACTACCGAATGATCGTCCGGGGCACAAAAAATCACAATCCCCGTCGAATATCTATTATGAAGTCAGGGGGCCAGGCCACAGGAAAATATTAGTTTTCTCTTTCGTTTAGGAACACCGACCCTGAGTCACGAGTGCCACCCGAGGGGAAGGGCGAGGATCGTCGGGGTTTTCTGCACTATTATCGATATCCCGGCATTTTTTTTCGGTCATAACTTATCAAAGCCCTTTGAATTGTCTTCATTTCCACTTCATCAGTGTCAGAATATCGACAGGAAAAGGGAGTCCAATTTTCGGGGGTGAGAGTGACTTGTGACGAGGCATGGTGAACAAGGGTTACTGAGCCGGGTTCCCACAATGCTATGCGGCGCCCAGATTTTTTTTTTTGGCGCACACCCACGGCGCAGACCCCTTCCTCACATGAGGCCTTTGAGCGTTTCGCGCTAAAATTTACGGCGCTTGAATTTTGGCATAGATCTCGGTTTGGCACTCACGAACAGCCGTAGATTACGGGACGGACCCGAAAAGGGGTTTAAATTTCGGTTTGTCTGTTTGGGTTTTTGGGGGTGAGGGATTTCTAAATAGGGCCTTTTAAATGATTTGGGAGGCAGGGTCCTTAGTTTTGGATTCTGGCAATGAAATTTCCCGTTTTTGGGCAAGTCAAGTCGATGAAATGTTGTCTAAGTTTTAGTCTCTATGTGCTGGTTATTTGTCTATTTTTCCAGTCACAAATTGTACCTTTTTATTTTTAGCGAAATTATTATTGTCATTATTAGGGGATAAAAAGTCCCGTGAAAATCCAATGAACAGAAGAACTATAGTAGATTTATAAGAAAGAGAAAGGTGCAAGGCTTAAATGTGTGGGGTACCATGTTTAAAAAAATGTGAGGGAGAAAAGTGGAAAAGCTCTAATATTCCCATGAGAGTCACAGAAAAAAAAACCCCCTTTAGAAAAAATGATGTACATTAAATCACCAAAAAAAGGGGGTGGAGAAAATAAAGGGAAAACAGAAAATTTTTGTAGGGACAGATAGCAAGTGTGAAGGAAAAGATAAAAGAGATATCATTTACCCCTTACCCCAAAGGACAAAGACTACAGTAAATGAAGCAAAGGGAATAATGAAGTCATGAATGAGAGTATCATTGTGCTCACCCTGTCTTTCTACATCTCTGCCCTATGCCAATCAAAAAAATTAAAAACAATTTGTTCATTTTTTCCTACACCCTTCCCCAACGGCTCCCTTTTTTTTTTGGTTGCCCAGAATTTTTTTGCTCTCTTCACCTTTTTGTTTTTTATGTTCCTTTACAATATCCTTTTTATACACACCCTCCCAAACTCACCAACTGCCTGGAATTCTTTCAAATCTCCCAAACACAATAAATCATCAGCAAAGAGAAACTGTTACAACTATTCGTTCATGTCAGAGTCATCCAGTACTTCACCTTTCCATCTAACATTTCGCTTCTTTCTTTCTTAACTGTCAAATTTATCTGCTTCCCATGTTTAATGAGTCTATTAGTCTCAAACAAATTTTCTTATTCTCAGCAAAATTTGAATCCATGTATAAACATTAATGTTCTGTCCTAATAACTCACAAGACACTGCATTAGCTTTAGGTGTGTTCCTTCATTTAAGGGAGGCACAGTACACTTAACTTCTTGCTATAGTGCTTACCATGTCAAGCAGCAATTCCACCTTCAGTTTAAGCAAGTTGTTCTCCTCAAGCAGAGTCTGATTTTGCTGATGAAGCCGTGCCACCTCACGGTTACTTGTGCGACCCCGTGATCCTCCTAATATATGTGGTTTGGATAAGGAAATGTAAATATGAATATAAATAAAATTAAATTAAATTAAAACTTAACCCTTTCAGGGTCGACAGGTCCTCTCCTAAGCTCGTTCTCAGGGTCAAAAATTTTTTGGAAAAAAAAAAAACATTTTTCTTATGAAATGAGAGAGAATCTTTTCCCCATCATAATGACACCAAAAGTATGAAATTTGATGAAAAACTTGCGGAATTATGCTCTCGCTAAGTTAGCGGTCTCAACGATGTTTATGCACCGGCGAATTCGCCCAATTTGAGCCCTATTTTCGGCCAATTTCAGTGTACTAGTCAACAAAAATCATATCTATTTCACTAGAACTTCATTTTTTTTCTATCGAATGAGTACAAGAAACCACCCATTTACCGATTTCAAGTATCCAATAAAGTGGTCAGAAATTGGCAATTTCACACAAATTTCAGAAGATGCCAATTTCCAAATAGGGTCCAGAATAAGCAAGACAGACATTCCTGGCACTAAAATAACATTTTCTCTGTTCATTAGTCACGTCCCCAGGCCCCTCTTACATCTCTTTTGTTTTCCACTTTGAATTTTTATTCTCACAAAAAAATAGAAGATTTACTGTTATGCAGACTACTGTATTAGTGTAGAAATGGTATAAATAATATCAGTGTACTTGTGAAAGAATATTAGACTCACCAGTTGATGTGTATTGGATGCTTGGCATGATTTGTTTACTTTTGAAATTTAGTAAAAATCGAACATTTCTGCTACTTTGAGCTCAATTTCAACATAAGAACATAAGAACGAAGGAACACTGCAGAAGGCCTACTGGCCCATGCGAGGCAGGTCCAAGTCTCCTACTGGCTTAAGCCAATGCACCCAACCTAGTCAGGTTAGGTCACATTGACTTAAGGGAGGAACACGGCAACCGACCTGGTAGCACAAGCTATCAGGTCTAACTCACACCCACCCACGTCTACTCATGTACAGTATTTATCCAAACCTATTTTTAAAGCTACACAACGTTCTGGCCTCTATAACGGTACTTGGGAGTTTGTTCCACTCATCCACAACTCTATTACCAAACCAGTACTTTCCTATATCCTTCCTGAATCTGAATTTTTCCAACTTAAAACCATTGCTGCAAGTCCTGTCTAGGCTAGATATTTTCAGCACACTATTTACATCCCCTATAATTATTCCTGTCTTCCATTTGTACACCTCAATCATATCCCCCCTAATTCTACGTCTTTCTAGAGAGTGCAGTTTCAGGGCCCTTAGTCTATCCTCATAGGGAAGGTTTCTGATACATGGGATCAACTTTGTCATCCTCCTTTGTACATTTTCCAGAGAATTTATATCCATTCTGTAATACGGTGACCAAAACTGTGCAGCATAATCTAAATGAGGCCTAACCAAGGATGTATAGAGCTGAAGAACAACCTGAGGACTCCTATTATTTATGCTTCTTGATATGAAGCCAAGGATTCTATTAGCTTTATTGCGAACACTTATGCACTGTTGTCTTGGTTTCAGATTACTGCTAACCAGAACTCCTAAATCTTTTTCGCAATCCGTAATATTAAGATCTACATTATTTAGTTTATATGTGGCATGGTTATTGTCCTGTCCAACATTTAGAACTTTGCATTTGTCCTATATTAAAAATGCATCTGCCACTTCTCCGACCACTGCATCAGTCTATTCAAATCTTCCTGGAGTGCTCGAATGTCCTCGTCAGAATGAATTCGACGGCCTATTTTGGTGTCATCGGCAAACTTGCCGATGTCGTTCTTTATGCCCTCATCTATGTCGTTTATGTAGATTGTGAACAGCAGGGGGCCCAACACTGACCCCTGTGGAACACCGCTCGTGACGCTTCCCCACTCTGATTTCTCCTCATTTATGCAAACTCTCTGCTGCCTATTTGTCAACCATGCCTCTATCCAGGAAAAAATTTCTCCTCCTATTCCATGTGCTTTAATTTTTCTCAATAGTCTCTGATGTGGGACCCTGTCAAAAGCCTTACTGAAGTCCATATACACAATATCATATTCATTACCATGATCTACCTCCTCAAATACCTTAGTGAAAAAAGTTAATAAATTCGTTAAGGCAGAACGCCCCTTTGTAAAACCATGCTGAGATTCGTTGATTAATTTATGCTTTTTCAAGGTGGCTACGAACTGCCTCGGCAATTATAGATTCCATAAATTTTCCCACTATGGAGGTTAGGCTTATTGGTCTATAGTTCGAAGCTAAGCACCTGTCACCTGTTTTGAAAATAGGTATCACATTTGCCATTTTCCACTTATCTGGCACCATGCCAGTTTGTAGTGATATGTTGAAAAGATTAGCCAAAGGTGTGCTAAGCTCCTCTTTACATTCCTTTAGAACCCTTGCATACAGTTCATCAGGGCCTGGGGATTTGTTAGGTTTTAATTTATCTATTTGCCTAAGGACCATGTCACTTGTGACCCTAATCGTGCACAGTTTATTATCGTCCTGTTCTACATAATTTATCATTACTGGAATATCGCTGGTATCCTCCTGTGTAAAAACTAAGAGGAAGTATGTGTTAAAAATTCTACACATTTCCTTATCACTGTCAGTGAGCTGACCCAAGGAACTTTTGAGTGGGCCTATCTTGTCCCTGATCTTACTTCTGTATACCTGAAAGAATCCTTTTGGGTTAGTCTTCGATTCTCTTGCAACTTTAACCTCATAATCTCTCTTTGCTTTTCTAATTCCCTTTTTTATTTCTCTCTTTAACTGAATATATCGATTTCTTAATTGCCCCTCTCCTCTTTTGATTTGCCTATATATGCCTCTCTTTTGACCAATCAGATATTTTAATCTAGTGTTCATCCATTTAGGATCATTTTTGTTTGATCTGATTTCCCTATTTGGAACATAATTTGACTGAGCAGCTAGAACTATGCCCTGGAAAGCATCATATTGGCAACCATCACCACCTACCTGACCCTTAGTCAGGTCATTCCAGTTCAGCCCACCTAAGTAATTTTTCAGTCCTATGAAATCAGCCAAGCGAAAGTCAGGGACGGAGACTTGATTGCCATTATTAGGGGAATTCCATGATATATTAAAACTGAGTGATTTGTGATCACTTTCTCCAAGCTCATCATTAACCTCAAGATTATTAATTAGTGTTTCCCTACTGGCAAGAACCAAGTCAAGGAGGTTATTTCCCCTAGTTGGCTCTGTCACAAACTGTTTTAAAAAACAATCCTGGATCGTATCAAGAAAGTCACCTGACTCTAAATTTCCTGTCAAATTGCTCCAGTCAATCTGTCTATAGTTGAAATCTCCCATTAGCACAACATTTTCGTATGTAGAAGCCTTACGAATTTCGTCCCATAGAAGTTTACTGCACTCCCTATCAAGATTTGGGGCCCTGTAAATCACACCCAAAATTAGTTTTTCTCGGCCCTCGAGAAGCTGTAACCAAACAGATTCAGTGGCTGACGCTTCTAATTTAATATCTTGTCTAACACAACAATTTAAATTGTCTCTGACATACATCGCTACTCCACCACCTTTCCTGTTGACCCTGTCAGTGTGGAATAATTTATAGCCTTGTATGTGACATTCAGAGGGCATCTCTCTATCTTTCAGATTGAGCCAGGTCTCTGTTATAGCAATAATATCCATGTTTCCTGCACTTGCAATTAATCTTAGCTCATCTATCTTATTTCTTACACTCCTGCTATTAGTATAGTAAACCTTAAGGGAGCTAGTCCCTTGCTGCCCTCTGCTGTCCCCTTTGTTTGCTGACCTGATCTATTGTCTTTATTTATAACTTCATGCTGAATGCCTTTTATACATTTACTGTTTCCAACCCAAGTGTTGCAACCTGCTTGTTTCCCACACACACCCATACCTCTATCTTCCATCAGTTTAAAATCATAGGCATTTCACCAATGGCCTTCTCAATCGAGTCTGCAAGTGCTACCACCCCTGCCCCAGAGAGATGTACCCCATCCCTTGCATACATATCATGTTTGCCATAAAAGTTGTTCCAGTTGTCAATGAATGGGATTGCAAGTTCCTTGCAGTATCTGTCTAGCCAGCAATTTACACCAATTGCCCTAGACAACCATTCATTTCCTACTCCCCTTCTAGGCAAGATGCTACATATGATTGGGATCCCTCCCTTAGACTTAATGAAATCTAAAGCTGACCTGTACTTATCTAGCAGCTCTTCTCTCCTACCCTTCCCAATATCATTTCCACCAGCACTGAGACAGATAATGGGCTTGTTCCCATTACCTGACATGATATTATCCAGCCTGCTGACAATGTCCCCAACACCAGCTCCAGGGAAGCACACTCTATCTCTCATCTTCTTATTCCTATTACAAAAAGCACGGTCAATATATCTTACCTGAGAGTCACCAACCACAAGAATGCGCTTACCTCCATTAGCAGGGGCAGTAGTACCCTTACCTTCACTGGCCACTGAAGTACATTCATCCTGAAGAACAGAGAAGCGATTTCCTACCTTCAGATCTTCACTCTTAACTTTCCTTACTCTGATGCACCTCCCATTACTGTGAACCACTCGCCACTTGTAGCAGGTGCTGGACTGCACCTCACTGCTGGTAGCCGTTGCTACCTCCCCAACTACAGCCTCCTCACAGCAAGAGACAGACTGCACCTCACTGCTAGAAGCCTCATTCCCCACAACTCCAGCCACCTCACACTCTCTCCCAGACCCATTGAGGTGGACCTTCAGCCTCCTAATCTCCTCCTGGAGAAGCAAGACCTCCTCCTTCAACTCTCCAACCTCAATTTTTAAAACACTGCAGAAGCAAGCCATGCTTTGTAACCGTCCATGCTAATCCCCAAAGCAGCTCAGGGTCTGTGACCTCACGTGACGACTGACCACTGACGACTGACGACTGACCACTGATGACTGACGCTGACCACTGACGACTGACGCTGACCACTGACGACTGACATACTTTTCATTAAGAAACCAATCA